AAACCGATGGTGCAACATTTCCCTACATCGCTTCTCCTTGTTTGTATTTCAGTGGTTAAAAACATCAAGGTTGAGTCAAAGACAGAGCTGCTTTCAGGTCAGCCTGCAGGAAGATCACACTTCACACTTCCTGTTGAGACTGATGGTGACGAGCGACACTCCAGCTGGCCGACAGACACAACATCTGCATTTAGATTAGCTGATGAAGCCTGAGGCACGCTGCAGTCAGCCTGACCTTCACGTGCTCTCTGTGAGCAGCTTTTATTCTTAAAATCCACACTAATACTTCTTCTGTCAGTAAGAGAGTGGACAGGTCACCAAGCAAGGTCCTGGAAGCGACCCAGGCAGTAATGGCGGTCCCTGATCAGGCCAACGGGTTCATGAACAAACTATGGAGGCCCAGCAGGCCAGATGTTCAGCCGTGGAGGTTAAGTTCAGTTATTTTCATCTTAAAGCAGCTGTTTTCTCTCTGCACAAAAAAAGAGCAAATAGGGTGTAGCAGACCTAAATTTATTAGTTATGCATTTTAATAAATTTATGAAAATTGATACCCAATTATGAATTTTTAAGATTCATAAAATCATTTTATTTAATTTAATTTTATTCCTCGTAAAGGGCACCACCGGAGTTGTTATAATCCTAGAGTCTCCGGACCTCTAGGTAGTTTTGAATAATTATACAATTATTACTAGTGATCAGTTAGTTAATAATCGCTCAATTATCTTAAATCAGTCAGTCAGTCTCATATCTAAAGGGTCAGTTCTCTTGGCAGGAACTAGAAATAGGCAACACACACAGCTCTTGACTATATTACAGTGAATTTATTCTCTAACTAAGGTGATAAAAAGATGGTTGGATACAGGGAACATAAACATTTGCTGAACAATGAGCCTGGAGGTTCGACTGTGGGAAGCATTTGACTCATACGGCATAGAAGAGCTACTGAAAGTAAACTAATGCTGTGATTTAGGAGTTAAAATGGACGTCTGATCACAGGGACGTGTGTTAAGTCTTACTGCTTGTCGACAGCCTGCTTTTGGCCTGTTGCACGGGTCCCACGCTAGCTGCCGATCCTGGCTTTTTGCTAGGGATCTCCGGGGTTCTCCGTGTCGATTGAAAACGCCTCCTCCGTCTGGCAATTCGGCTGTTTTCAGGTTTCCTTCGTTGTAGCTGGCGAGACCACGTGGCTTGGTCTGACCTCGGTGAAGTTGGCTTGACGAAAAAGCTTAAAATGGAACTTGGTCGTTCCTGAATTAGTCCAGTGTAACTTAACGGACTGATAACTTTAACAAACAAAAGAAATAAAGAAAATAAAACAAACTGAAGGCAGATCGATGTCTCGGCACTTCAGGTGTGTAGCTTCAGCGAAACAAAGGCCTGTTTGTTTCGCTGGTCGACTGAGGGCGCTGCCTGGCGTCCAGCGAGCAGAGCAGAGTGCAAGAGAGCCAAAAGCGAAGAGACAGAGAGCGAAGCGAGGTCGCGTGTCGCTCTTTTGTTGCCTGGGGCGTGGTTATCCAGGGGGCGTCTCAGGTTTCCCCAGGGACTGCCTTTCTAAACTTAATGTCTAAAGGAAAGAAATCTATTTGCACGTATTATAATCAAATATTTTCCACAATCGAACCTCAATGGTCAGACGGTTGTACTGTTCTCGGCATTTGGTAACAGGAAACAATTGTCACATTATTGGTCAGGATATTTATACATTTAACGGCATTTCCAACGAGGGCATGTAATACTTATTTTTGTCCACTTGGGGGAGCTCAGGTTACATGAGGAAAGCTTGGATTAAATTAGATGAAGGAGCGTCTTGCTGAAAATAAAAACACTGCACAATTAACTTCTTTTCAGCACTAATATCAACACCAGATAGCAACAACAGTTAACATAACTGCTCAAATAGAGGCAAACATATTCAGGTAACTAAAGATTTAATTAAACTTAATTAAATGCTTTGAGTCTTTGGAGACTGCAGTCTTTTTACATTGAAAGTTCAGTGTCTGGACCATGTCACACTTGGGTGAGACAGGGGTTTTCCTTTTTGATGTGGTAATAAAACAAAGAATAAGGTCAGTTGCCACGGAAACGTGTGTGGGGGGGCCAGTTTTGATAGGCTGTTCAGGGAGATGCCAATGGCTGGCTTGTGTCCCTTTGTCAGTTTAACAGTCAGGCCCCGCGTTATCAGCTTCGGAATCAAAAGGTGCCAGTTTTATGGTCGGGATAGCACTTAGAGAAAGCAACTTTGACCCCTCCCCATCTTCTCTGGGGAGGAGAAAGGAATTTAGGGTGGCTCCACATTCATTCAATATAAAATGCACAAATCCACATCGTTGTTCACTACAAGGGTTTGTCTAAAACTTGGACTTGGCTGCTCTCAGCTTCCGTACACTTTGTTCTATAAGTGCTACTGCAGAGCGAGTGGAGCCTCCGACAGCAGAAATGTTTGACATGTTAAATGTACTTCCTCCTCCGCAGAATGTGTTTAAAGCTCTGAATTTCTGAAACCTCCTGAGGCTGAAACCAAACATCTGGATCAAAGCACAAAATCTTCTTCTGTCCATTTGTCTACAAGTTGAAAAATGAGAAGGGGGCGACGTCGTGGGTCACATGAACCCTGTGGTTGGACTTACAGGAGGCGATGTCACAGGAAATGCAATCTTCAGGATGAGGATGTATTTCTGTCACCGTGACGTGACTGCTTACCATTTCAGCACTCAAAGGTTTGATAAAAAAACTCAAGGCGTTTTGTTATTATTGGACACAAACACGCAGGAGACAACAATACTCAAACCTTTCTTTCAGACCAGGTCCAACTGTCTTCAGGTCTGCTCTCTGGGATCGGGTTCCAGCATGAGGGCAAGGAGGTCAGACATCTGGAGAGACCTGAGAGTCGATCCTCCTGAAAGCTACATTTCCATTTTGGATCCAGGTACGTCCTCCACAGGTCTGTTCTGGTTTAAGTCAGACCTCTACCCAAAGGTCAGAAACAATCCTTAGGTGTGACTTTCCTGTGTGTTTTCCTCGTGCTGAGCTTCTCTGGAGGCAGAAATAAAAATAATGTCATTGGTGTGCCATCAATTAAGTGTGAAAATTGAAGTCAGCAGCTGTTTAGACCCCCATTACACAAAAATACACCATGTTGTAAAATGTTACAATGTGAAACCAACTTTTCTTCAGCTGTGTGTTCGTGGGCCTTTCTTAAACCCAAGAACGCAAAGAACGGACTGGTGTTCTCGGAGGACCTCTATATCAAAGAGGTGTGGGTGCATGTCTCGTGTGGATGAACACGTGTTGCAGACAGAAGAAGCAGAGTGAAACAGTTTAGTGTTGGCTGAGAACTAGTTATACAATAACCTCAAGTTAAACAATGACAACATTAAAACCTCAATGACCAACACGTTCTCACTCCCGACTCGTCACATATTGACGCTTGGTCAAGGCCTTTTGGGATCGCTTTTTAACACCCTGGATACCCCTTTAGTGTAATTTTTAGATGTTTAAGGCTCCGCAGTCAAGTTAGCAATGCTTAGCAATGACAAATATGCAACGTCCGGTTAGACTTTCAAAATAAAACACTAGCGTTTCAAAACATTGCCGTTTTGAAACGGTGCGTTATTCAAGTTGTGAAACGTTGCAGTTTGGTTAGGTTAGGAAAATACTTGGTTTTGTTTAGGCAACAAAATGTACTTGGTTAAGTTTCTAGAAAGGTTTGGGTTAAAATTACTACATTGGTCAGTTAACACGTAAGTTAACTAACGTCATTTGTGTAACTTACGCAATTTACGTATCTTGCGTAACATAAATAAAAATATATAATGTTCACACGGGACACGAACCCCAATCACCCCGTTACTCAGTCTTTTCTGTTAAATATCATATACCTGCCTTTAGTGTCAAAAACTGACACTACAGGGCTTCCCCCACGGCGTTGAACTATGGCGCTATAGGGATCCCCAGTGTCACAAACTGACACCAATGGGTCTTGATCATGCGTCCATATGTGACAAGTCGGGGAGAGCGAATGGGTTGGCGCAACACACACAGTGGGGAACAAGATTTGAAAAATGAAACAACCGACATGGGAAAATGATGTTATGTTCTGCTGGGGAGCCCTCTGCGCTGTCGGGTCGGCGGCTTCAGTTGTCCAGAGGAAGAGCTTGGAGAAAAGAGAGCGAGGACGAGCTACGCTGCGGTTTTATCGATCAGGTGACGTTAGAGGTCAGAGGTCACTGACCAATCGTACCTGCACACCAATGTGTAACTTCCTGGAGGATTCCTGCGAAACGGAGTTCGGGGCCCACATGATAAACTTCATCTGTGAGGTCTCAACACTGTTCAGGAGAAAACAGGTGTCTGTCCTCAGGTAAGAAATTTGACATTTACTCTTCCTGTAAACTATCAGAGTAAAAGCCCTGAGGAGTTTAGTCCTGTAACATGTTTCAGGTGTAGCTACCTGCAGGCAAAATGGAAGCATATCTAAGCTACAGCCCTCCTCCATAGCAACATTACACATCCTGGTTTATAGTATAGTTCCAAAACTTATTGCATGATTACCCAAACAGAGGTCAGATCCACTAATATTAAAGCGGAAACAGCTGTTTTTCATTTTGATACAGATAAAATGTTTTCCCAGCACAATTAGATGTTAAACAGCTGACTGAGATGTGCTGGAAAAGGGATGTAGGTGCCAACAGTCCTGCAGCCGCCTTCTTCTGTGGTTCAGCATCTCTGCAGTCCTGTAGTGCAGTACAGTAAGTACTCTACTATGCTCCAGTGTAGTACTTGTAGTATACATGCAGTGCCGTGTTTGGGATAAAGTCACGCGCTCACTTCTTACAGTGTTGATGGTACTTAAAGCAGAGCGCGCGAGCCGAGCGTCATTTGGCTGCACGCGGGGACACAGACACTTTGTTATCTTATTCCGCAGACGAAGAAGAAGCTGATCGGACTCACCTCCGGATTATCGATCCTGTGATTGGTCTGTCCTGGCGCGTGCCGCTCCGCTCCGGTGAAGATGGAGCAGAAAGCAGCGGCGGCGCGTCGCTGCAGGACTCGAGCCTTCATCAGTGTGTGAACTCCAGAAAGCTTCTGTTGCTTTTTACGTTCTCCAGAGAGGACCCGCAGCCCGACATGTTCTCCGAGGGGAGCGACTTCAACCTGACGTCCAGCCTGAACCTGTCCTCTCTGGAGCGGGACTGGAGCGACTCGGCGCTCGGGCGGCTGTCGCGCAGCGGTCACCGCGTGGTGTCGGTGTTTCTGGGCTCCATCATGGTGTTCGGTTTCCTCAACAACCTGCTGGTTCTGGTTCTGTTCTGCCGCTTCAAGACTCTGCGGACCCCGGTCAACATGCTGCTGCTCAACATCAGCGTCAGCGACATGCTGGTGTGCGTCTGCGGCACGACGCTCAGCTTCGCCTCCAGCCTGCGGACGCGCTGGCTGTACGGCCGGCTCGGCTGCATGTGGTACGGCTTCGTCAACTCCTGCTTCGGTGAGTCTCAGGTGTGAATGTACCGGAGTGACACCAAAATGATTCTGTGACCCAGAGAAGTTCGGCGCCACAGGATTTTGTTGACTGGTTGCAGTTTGGTTAGGTTTAGGTACCAGAAGTAGGCTGATTAGAAACCCATGTTTGGGTTTAGTCACAGATTCTGGTGTTGCATCGGCGCTACTCCTACAGGAGTCCAGGTGTTTCTGGGCCGAAGGTGAAGCCTCACCTGTTGTCCTCCAGCACAGCGCCTTCATTTAAAGTGTGGACAGCTTATAAACACCCATTAGAAAAGTAAATTACATATTTTTAAAAAATGGAATAATTGATTTTAATTATTAAACTGATCAATCTTTATTCATTCAATTGATTTAAATTCACTTAAATTAAATCATCATGAAACTGATGATCCAGAATTACCTACAAATCTACAAAGTGAATTAATATTGATGGATGGATTAAGTAGAATTACATGAACCGAATCAGATGATATATTCAGTTTTATTTACTGTATATAGCCCCAATTCACAACAACTGTGATCTCATGTCACTTCTCATAGTTTACCGAACTCTGTGCTGTTACAGAGACCCAACAGTTCCCACCAATGACATGTTCATGTTAAATCAGCAGCTGACAGATAAATGTTGTAGTAACAGGGCAGACTGGAGGCTGACAGGAGGCCTGGGGCCCCCCAGACCACCAGGGCCCCCAGACCACCAGTTCTTTGTGTATGATCAAGAACTCTTGTAGCCTCAAACCAAACCCTCTGTTCAATTACTCTCCTTTTTCTCAAGATATTAGAGAAGAGTTAGAAAAACACAAACTATTGTTATTGAAATATTTTGAACTATTGTGTCTAAATACTTTCAATTCAGCTTTATTGGCATGAATGTAAAACAATATTGCCACAGCTACAAATAAATTACACAAGAACAATCAGTTTCATACATTTCATTAAGTAAATAAAACAGTAAGTGTGTGAAAAAATACAAATAAAATATAAAATAAAGTAAATAAATATTAAAAATAAATAAGTAAAACAGGAAGTGTGTGTGTCACGGTTTTGTGGTGAAGGCAGGGTGGAGCAGGTTGGAGGACCCAAACACAGAGCGGAGCAGGTATAGTTCAGTGGTTTTAATATAACAAAAAGCGAGCACACTTACAAACAGAGTGGCTGATAGACTGAGTCCAAAAACCAGGGCTGTCCAACAGAAATACAAAATCCAATAACGGCAGGGAAACAGGGAGAGACGACGAGTGAGGCTGACGACACGAAACACACTGCTACACAGGGTAACAACATACAATGACCCGACAAAGACAAGAAAGAAACACCAGGTATATATACACACAGGGACTAACGAGCAGGGCGGGAGCAACACAGGTGAAAGACATGAGGCTAACGAGGCACAGGCAGGGGAAAACAGAGACAGACATGCAGAGGGATAACTGGGGTAACAGACATGACAAGGGTTACCAAACACTAGACGACAGACAAGACAGACCCCCAAAACCTAACATACTATAAGGCAGATACTAAACTCAAAAGTGCAACACAAAGAATGGCTGACCGGCAGAGCGTGACAGTGTGTGTATTATTAGACAAAATAAATAAATAAAAAAACAACTAAAAAATCAGAAATTTAAAAAAATAAGGGAACAGTTACTAAAATAATAAACTGAAAATAGTAATAATTTGAGATTATTTATTTAATATATTTATGAGTCTACTGCTGCAGCTTCAGTTGGTTATAGATGGTTTTTATTGGACATATAAAGGAGCAGCAGATGGAAGTCGTTCCTCTGAGCAGCTGTTCACATGCAGCCTGACAGCTGCAGTTATAATCTGGCTGAGATTATGTAAGGAAGCTTTCGGGCTCAGCTGCAGCTCGTTATTATCATTCTTTATGCCTGCGGGTTACCTTTAACCTCAGAGGAAGTTCAGTCAAACAGCTGAGAGCTGCAGCAAGAAATCTTATGCTAAATGCTAACACCACAACGACTCCTTTTTACTTTATGTTGGATATGCTAACTGTTTGTCGCTACCAAAGCTAGCTCAAACATCCATGTCTTGTTAGGCTAACAGTTCTCTGTTTCCTGTCTTTGTGCTAAGCTAGGCCAAACACTCCACGAACCAATACACTAAATGCACAGAAATGAAACTGTTATCATCAGAAATATATTGCTTGGTGACTAACATGCTAACATGGAAGCTAAGTAACGTTTGCTCTCTAGCTGGTTAGCAAAAGAAGTTTGTGGTGTGTGGGTTATTAGAGCTTTGACGAACTTTGAAACAGTTTCTACATAATGAGCCAGTTATCATGCTAGCTGCTATTAATATGTAAGTCGTCTCTTTTATTCCAGTTTTTGCTACGTTGACTGATTTCAGTGATGCTAAGCTAGGCTGAACACACTATGGTATAAGTTACCTACAAACAGCTACCATAACATTGGCTATGCTAACTGTTTAGCTAATATGGCATTCAGCTACAATTTTGGGTATGCTAACTGTTTGTCGATATTATGACCAGGTTTAAACACCTAGCATAATGTTAATCATGCTAGCTGTTTGTTGCTCTGCAAGCTAGCACATGCTTCCCGTCTTTGTGCTAATTAAGCTAGGCTAAACACACACACATTAAAACACTGGTTTTACTGCCATTAACTGTTTTGTTGCTATCTGGCTAGCAGTTTCCCTCTGCTTCCAGTCTTTGTGCTAAGCTAGGCTACACACATCCTGAACGATGTTGAGCCGTCTCTTTAATCCTTTAACTTTCCTCTTCTCTCAAGGCAAAGACGCCTCTCAAAATAAATCAGTGACGTTAAATCAGGCGGACCTGTGTTGATTCCTCAGATCTGCTGATGCAGATCAGACCCTCCTGGAGGACGGTTCAAGACTGAAGGAGCTCTATAATGATGGAATTAGTGAGATTTGGGTCAGCAGTGATCAGTCTGCTGGAAATGACATGAACTCAGGATGTAGTTTGATTCTGCGGAGGATTTAATGAACATGTTTCCAAAAACGAACCTGTTAAATCTGCTCGTTAAGGTTTATTTAATTAAATCATATCTTGTTAAACGGTTAACGGTACAGCCGACTGAGCTCAGGAAACAGATTTAAAAGTAAAATATCTGCAGCTTTAAAATGATTTACTTTGAGACGAAGCTTAAACTGGCCCTGCGATGGGCTGGCGACCTGTCCAGGGTGTACCCCCCCTTTCGCCCGATGTCAGCTGGGATCGGCTCCGGCCCCCCGCGGCCCTGTACGCAGGATAAGAGGTTGACTATGGATTGATGGATGGACAAAGCTTAAACTAGAAAAACATTTTTAAATGTGGTGTCAGCAGTTAAATTAAGTTTTTATTATCAAATTCCAAGGCAGCATCGTTCTATGTGACGTTGTCCGAGTCCAGGTGTCCCAGGTGTCCCAGGTTCCCCAGGTGTCCCAGGTGTCCCAGGTTCCCCAGGTGTCCCAGGTGTCCCAGGTATCTCACTTCCTGTTTTGTCTCCATCAGGCATCGTGTCTCTGATCTCTCTGGCCGCCCTGTCCTACGACCGGTACAGCACCCTGATGGTGTACAACAAGCAGGTCTCGGACTACAGGAAGCCACTGCTGGCGGTGGGGGGTGCGTGGCTGTACTCCCTGCTGTGGACGGTGCCCCCCCTGCTGGGCTGGAGCAGCTACGGCCCCGAGGGGGCCGGGACCAGCTGCTCGGTGACGTGGACGGAGAGGTCGTTCGGCTCTCACTCGTACATCATCTGTCTGTTTGTCTTCTGTCTGGGCCTCCCCGTCCTCGTCATGGTCTACTGCTACGGCCGCCTGCTCTACGCCGTCAAACAGGTGGGTCACAGCGGCCAATCAGAGTTCTTTTTGGTTTGTAATGTTCATTTTAAGAGTCGTCCATCACTGAACTCTGATACAGGAGAAACATCACGACAGGCTGTATTTACCAGTAAAACTGGTTTGAAGTCAGGTCAGGAAGTGAAAGTGCTGCGACAGGTTAAACCGTCAGCGTCTGTTAATGTTAAAATGTATCGACTCATTTATATTTAGCTTGTAGATTTATATTTATTATATTATTTTATTCAATATTATTTCGATTTTTTGGTATATTTAATTCTTATTATGATTTTATATGATTTCTTAAATAGTTCGTTTTATTTTTCATTTATTATTTTTATTATTATTGTTTTTGACCAGTTTTAAATTGTTGGACATTTCTTCTGCATATTTCTTAATTGCTTTATATTTATTTACACATTTTGTGTATTTTTATATTTATTTATTTATATTTACTTGTTTCCATTTGTTCTTTTTCTGTCATATTTTTTTATTGTCTTCTTTATTTTTCACTCACTTTTGTTTTATTTACTGTATGCTTGCTTATTTTACATCTATTCTTTTTTAAAATCCATCCATATTATTTTAAGCCTTTTTTAAGTGTTTATATTTTGGACACAATAAATTAAGTGAAATCACTCGACTGCAACATGAAAACGTGAAATGTTTCTTCAAATCCAAACTTATCATGTTTAAATTCATATTTATCATATAATATTTGTTATATTTATATATATAAGATGTTCTCCATCAGCAGATGCACTGATGACCTCTGGCTAAAAAAAACTTCACTTCCTGTTCTCTGTGTTGAGGATCAGTGAACGCCTGAGCCGACAGGTCACATGACCAGAGTCACATTCCTCAGATTCACAGCAACAATAAACAGCTGAGAGAGAAACCTCCAGAGACGATGGAACCAAAACCAGATCCAGAACCTGTCTATATTCTATATTTAGGTTTCTGCTATTTTGTCGACTTTAAACATGTTTATTTTATAAAACGTTCTGATTTGTTCCACTTCTTCTTCTGTTTTGTCTGTCAGGTGGGTCGTATCAGGCACACGGCAGCTCGTCGCAGAGATTTTCACATCCTGTTCATGGTCATCACCACGGTGGTGTGTTACCTGGTCTGCTGGATGCCGTACGGCGTCGTTGCCATGATGGCCACCTTTGGACGGCCAGGGATCATCAGCCCCGTGGCCAGCGTCGTCCCGTCGCTCCTCGCCAAGAGCAGCACCGTCATTAACCCCGTCATCTACATCCTGATGAACAAACAGGTCAGTGACGTAGCGCTGCAACGGTTAGTCGATTATTTGGTTAGTTGGTCGAAAGAAAATTAATCTACAACTATTGTGATAATTGATTAAATCGTTTCAGGCATTTTTTAAACAAAAATATGTCAAATCTGCTGGTTTCATCATCTTAAATTGAGGAATTGCTGCTATTCTTTGTCATTTATGACGTCACTTTGGGCTCTGGAGAATCGTGATGAGCATTTTTCAAAATTTCTTGACATTATGTAGACTTAACGATTAGTCATGAAAATAGTCGGCAGATTAGTCGATAATGAAAGTACTCGTTAGATTGCACACCTGTCGTCGGGCGTCAGACTGAAAAATTAAAATGTTATAGATGTTTTCACTTTTTATTCATGTAGAATACTCACAAACCACATGTGCTCTACAAGAGATGCAGATTGATTTGAAGAGTCTGCTCTCAATCAACTAAATCAGATGTGATGGATTAAATTTGCTCCAAGAAAAAAAATCTGATTTGAATTAAATTGTGTTAAAAGAATAAAGTCACAGTGAATTTGGCCCTTTGGCTCCTGGTCTATTTGAGAGAAAAAAATTTAAATTAAATTTATGCTGCTAATTTATTTATATGTCTGGGCTTGACAGCGTTTCAGTGTTTCGAACCTGAAATTCTCTCATGCAGAACACATTCTGGCAGCGTATCAAATCTTTTATGATCTGCAGGGTCATTGAGGGGCCCGAGGGTCCATCTATCGGATTCCTGTCACAGCTGACTGGTTTACATAAACCAGATTCCTGCTGAAGACAGAAACCGTCCAACAGGGTTTCTGTCTTCAGCAGGAATCTGGTAACAATTTAACGAATACATTCAGTCTCAATTAACAGCATCTGATTAAATTAGATTCTGCCAGAAAAACAAATGAGAGTTAAGAATGACAAAACTAAATACAATTATGGCTTTTTGAGTTTTAACTTTAAGAAACAGGTTTTCCTGAAAGACATAAACAATAATAAAATTGTTCTAATAATTGTGATGTTTAGAGAAAGGGTGACATTAGTGAAATTATAATTCTGACAGCTAATCTCATGAGTTACAGGAAACTGCATCAAAGTCTGGTCATCAGGTCAGAATAATAACAAATTAGTTTCCAGGAGTCAAAACCGTGAGACAGTTTCTTAAAGTGACTTGTGACTTCTGTAAAATTAAAAATATGTCAACATAATCAGATAGTAGTCAAACATTTTATTTAGTAAGTTTATTGAAAGTACATAAAACATCAATAGCATCATCGTAAAACCCCAACCCAACAAAATATCTGTCCTGATTACATAGTTGTCTAAGACAAATAAATTCAACATGCAATAAACAAACCAGAGTGTCATCTCCCTTTCCTTTTAAAGGTGCCATAGGATGGAAAACTGTATTTACCTTGGTATTAAAGTGTTTCAGTCTCCATTGTTTCCTCCTTCATATGTTAATCTCTCACATGCAAAAGACCCTGGAAAAACGGACAATTGCCAACAAGCTCTAGATATGATGTATAATCTGGGCTCTTTAATGCCCCCAAATTTTCCATAAACCAGCCCACATTGCAGAGAAGTGGTCACTCGAGCTCACGGAGCTGCAGATTCAGTTCAGTGTCTCACAGAAAGTTTTGTTATGATTCTTAAGGAAAGTATTTTCTGTTTTTCCCTCTGATGTCCTCTGGCTGCTCTGCCTCAACTCTGTGTTTTATAAAGTTTCCTGAAGGACAGATAGCTTTACTTGTTGCTAACACTATAGTTAACGGTAGCTGCAGTTTTCAGGAGGCTCTGAACAAGCGGTCCAGAGCGTCTGTGCTAATCAGCAACCGGACGGCTAGCTGCACAGCTAACTGAGTAGCTACTGCTGATAGCAGTAGTTAGTAACCGGTAACATACAACAGAGAAGGGGAGCTAAAACTGAGTATTCATCCAGAGGATGAAAAATAATGTGTTTTTTAAACATAGCATGTAAATATTTTCTAGTAGAAACTGTAAAAACAAATATGAACATTGCTATGATAAAGGCGGATTTACGGAGCCGGAAAGAACAGATTTCATGTGAAGAAACTGATCTGCTCCTAAAAGTCAAGATCAATAATGCCACCAAAGCTCCATCAGGTGCAGAAGGCGTGGGAGGAGGTAGTGATGAAGGTGTCCACGTCTTCTGGAGGCAAAAGAACGGCCACATAATGCAATGACTCACAAACTAAGTCACTACATTACCTCCTCAGTTTGTTAAACCTGGATCATGACCCACACTGGACGACCCTGAACCCCCTCAGTTTGTTAAACCTGGATCATGACCCACCCTGGACAGTCCCGAACCCCCTCAGTTTGTTAAACCTGGATCATGACCCACCCTGGACGACCCTGAACCCCCTCAGTTTGTTAAACCTGGATCATGACCCACACTGGACGACCCTGAACCCCCTCAGTTTGTTAAACCTGGATCATGACCCACACTGGACGACCCTGAACCCCCTCAGTTTGTTAAACCTGGATCATGACCCACCCTGGACGACCCTGAACCTCCTCAGTTTGTTAAACCTGGATCATGACCCACACTGGACGACCCTGAACCTCCTCAGTTTGTTAAACCTGGATCATGACCCACACTGGACGACCCTGAACCCCCTCAGTTTGTTAAACCTGGATCATGACCCACCCTGGACGACCCTGAACCCCCTCAGTTTGTTAAACCTGGATCATGACCCACCCTGGACAGTCCCGAACCCCCTCAGTTTGTTAATTCTGGATCATGACCCACACTGGACGACCCTGAACCCCCTCAGTTTGTTAAACCTGGATCATGACCCACCCTGGACGACCCTGAACCCCCTCAGTTTGTTAAACCTGGATCATGACCCACACTGGACAGTCCCGAACCCCCTCAGTTTGTTAAACCTGGATCATGACCCACACTGGACAGTCCCGAACCCCCTCAGTTTGTTAATTCTGGATCATGACCCACACTGGATGGCGCTGAACCCCCTCAGCGTGACCTTGCCCTTCCTCTTCAGCTGGTCTCGGTGGCCCTGGTTGATCCTCTGGATCAGCAGCTTCTCGTACAGCAGAGGGTGATAGGCCCCCAGTGTACAGGCGTCATCGTGGTACTGCTCGTAATAGTGACACAGGTCAGTTTGACGGACAGACGGGATGAATTCGTACACGCTGACCTCACGACACAATGACATCATCAACAGGATACCTGGAACACAGAGATGACATCATGTCAATTTGTAAACAACAAGATTTCTTAATAAATATTTGAATAAACTAGTTTTTCTCAGTAAACAGATGACGAAGATCTAAACTAACAAATACTTTAACTTTTGTCATGGCAACCCCATGTGCTGAGTGATAGAAAGCTCTAGAACAACATGAATGTTAAATGAAAGCATTTTCTTAGCTGATGTTTTGGGGTTAAAATGCTCCCTGTAAGGTCGTTGGTTCGAGTCCAGCTGTTATTTCAGTTCCTGTACAGGTTAGTTATTATTGAGAATGGATGTTTAACCGTTAATGTTCCTGTTTGGTCCTCAGTTCTACCGCTGCTTCCTGATCCTGTTCCACTGTAAACACCAGACATCGGAGAACGTTCAGTCCTCCATGCCCTCCAGGACCACCGTGGTCCAGCTCAACCGCAGAGTGTGTGACAGCAGCCCAGCGGCCACCGGCCTGGCGGTGCTCACCGGAACTGGTACAATCCACACGGATGGAACAACATGTCCAACAGAACCGACGCCACTGAGCCACCTGAACCCTCCTTATCCTGAATCCTCCTCCTGAGACATGTGATTGGACTAGAAACCCAAGGGGTGGGGCACAGTCCCGCCCCCACCTGTGTTGTGTGTGACAGTGGCTCCGCCTCCTGGAAACTCTTGATGTCACCCCAGGTGTGACCCCAGTGTGTTGGTGCAGTGATCGTATCACCTGAAAACCTCGAGGCTGTGATGCTCAACCAGCTGAGGTATAGAGGACAAACTGTGTCGCTGTTCTGGGTCAGTGATAAAAAGATTTGAAACTTCACTGTTTAGTAACTTGTAGGTGTAAATGGACATGTGTAAAATACTTGATTATTAAGAGTATTACATCAGTGTACATGTAATTAACAGAGAATTACACACTAATCTATTGCTGGGGCAATTCGTCGACGTAATTGATTACGTAATCGCTGTATCTCGGCGCCTTCGACCGTCTAAAGTTTGGAGTATTTCAGACAGACACTCAACAACGTGCTGCTCCGTGAGCTCTGAACAGGAAACGGCTTCACTGCAGCACAACTGCTGTCCACGAACACGTGAAACATACGCCGCAGCACTTTGTCTAGACGGCAGCACCGCAAATCGTGTTTCCTTTCTGTCGCCACACGAGCACGAGGACACGTAGTGTTTCTTCATTGCCTTCATGTTAAAAGTAATTTCTGCCCCGCTGCGGTCATGGTAACGTAACGTTACACCGCGAGTCATGTAACGATCGGCTGTTTCATATTTTCTGTTTCTTTAATGGCCACGTATGAGCGAGAAAACAGCTGAATCTGATTACAGACAATCTGTCTTTCTGACTGTCTTTCAGGTGTTCACTGATGCAGAAATACATTTTATTATCATACTGCATTACTTAATAATGAAATGATCCTAATTAATGTCTGTTATTGTTATTATCACAACACATCAGTGACGTGGAAATTTGATTCATTTTAAGATTTGCTGCTATTGTCTTTATTCTAATGTGCTTCATCAGGATGACTGAATAAAATATAGATTTATTGATTAGGCATGTTTTTGATATTTATTTTGGTTTGTTAATCGAGTAACTTTTCTTTCCTTAGAACAAACAAAAATAATCGTTATATTAATCGCCTTGAAAAATAATGTATAGCGCTACACTAATGCTTACAGGAACATGTCAAGAGGCACCTGAAGGTGAATCACTAATTAACAGACCTGCTTCATCAGTGAACAAGGTGAAAATGTCTGAACATCACGATGCAGCTGTGAGGTGAAAACGTCACCAGTTTATTATTAATTCATTGAGTGATTAATCGTTTCTGTGCCTGAATAAAACGTGAATATTTTTCTATCGTCTCTGGTCTGTTGAATGTCAGCTGTTAATAAAGTTCTGTAAAATGAACTTGTCTGTTTCATCTTTTATCTTGTTCTTATTGTATTTTAGAACTTTATTTTTATCCTAAACATGCTGTTTCCTCCTGTTGGACTATTTTACACTCACAATGTTTAAATATCTCTTATAGAGTGTAAAATAATTATTGTCTGTTATTTCTATTTTCTGCATGTAATTATATATTAAAGATAAAAACAAGTTTTATTTAATACATTTACAACGATAATTGTATTTACGTTAATGTTTTAATTTATCATAAGAACACCTTTATTGTACTTACAACAGAATTTATTGACAGAATTGCTAAAAACAAAAGCTGGCAGTGGATTTAAATTTACATTGTGTGTAAAATAATTGAAATTCTATTATTTCTGATGTCATTTTCAGCCGTATCTATAACATTTAAAGATATTAAATTAAACACAGTGGTCTACACATTTTCTGTACTGTGTTGCTTTGCAAGCATTTTTTAAATAATACAATAACTGAATTAAATGAAAAATTACGGAAGCCACAATTTTTATTTACTAAGTTTTATTTTATTGTACTTCTGTGGTAGTTTTCTCTTTACAATCTTCAATATTTATTGTTTTTCTGTAAATTTTTTAATTTAATTAAACGATGCAAAAATAATAAGTATTGTTTAAAAGAAATGTGACATTTTAATTTAACTTTAACATTTAATTAATACATTTTATTTGTGCTGTTTTTAATCATAGTTTAAAAAATATGTTAAAATCTAATGTAAAAATAAATGTAAATGTTAATTTAAAATATTGCAGTTCTCTCTTTTCTAATTTCCTTAATATTAATTGAAATGTTAATAAATGGTTGTACTTGGTGAAAGTGAAAGTACCTTTTACTCAGTTGTATTGCTGTATTTCTTCTCAGTGTGTAATTTGTGTAGCAGTAGTGCGAGTAGCTGGTACCTGTGAACCCTGATGAGGGCGGGTTTGGTTGGATCTGGTCCTCAGTGTTGTCCTGGATCAGGTCCCACAGGTTCCAGATGAATTCTGGGTGGAGGACGTAAAATGGCTGCTCAGGTTGGCGGCGACGGCGTTCAACGTACCCCGAGAACAGATCGAAGTCCGGCTTCTGGAACCACTGAAGACAAACAACACGTCAGTCGGGGTTCCTGCTCCTCCTCCCTGTACACTGGGATCAGTCTGTTGACCCAGTCCCACCTGTAACTGATCCAGAACCCGGCAGCCAGGCTCCTGAGTTGTTCTACGAGTTGTTTCTCTGTGCCTATAAGTTGTTTATCAATAAGTGTTTCTTTTATTTATGATTTTAGCTTTACAGCACTTAGAAATTTGACTCGATCGATTGTGTTATTATTTACTGGACAAGTAAACAAACACATCACACCTGCGGGCTTCCTGTTATAATAAATACTCAGTTCTGAGTCATTTTAAATACCAGTTCAACACACGCCTGCCTCCAGTTGTTTCCTTTAATGACTTAAAGGAAGTCCAAGTAAAAAAAATACAGCTGGAACAACAAGTCAATTAATGAATTGGTTGACCTTTTTCATACATATTTGTTTATTCGGAGTCTTTTATAATAAAACATTAAATAAACTGAATCTTTGAGATGTTTGAGATCGTTCATTAATAAAAGTAATCATTGGTAGCAGCTCAAAGCTAAAGTTTGACCAAGTTACTTAGAAGAGTTCAAGAAAACCACAAAGATCACCTTCGTCAGGTTGGAGGAGTACTGAGCCGGGTCCCAGACCAGCAGAGCGACGTCCTGATACAACGAGCTGCTGTTGAACTGATGTTTGGGCCGAGCTACGATCTGATGAAGAGAGAAGAAGAAACAGTGTTGAATTTAAATGTTTATTCAGAATTATGAAAGAAGTCAAAGCTCTTAGTTTGATGGCCAGAACGGTCAGACACCTGGGAGTTGATGAGGCGGAAGGTGGTCTTGGTCCCCACGTCTCTCTCGAAGCCTTTGGTGGGAGCAGCGTTGAAGCGAAGCACTGCATCATGGGAATCTGAGTCAAACAGGAGAGGAACCGTTTAAACACATCAGCAGGTCAAAAAAACAACCTACACCTGAACTCACCTGACGGGGTCATTCAAGGTCATTCCAAATATTGTTATTATAATCCGGCACCTGACAAATCATCTCATCTAAAGGTCCACTTCTGGAGCCTTCGACCATATCTCACAGCCTTCATCAGCAATAACCAGAAGAAGTCCGTCTGCTGAGGAAGACAGTGGGCTGTGGCTGAAAGCTCCTGGACAAGTGAGTAAGTGGATCTTGAGTTCAATCACACCCTGATTATAAAACACACCTTAAGTTGAATTCTTTATAAATATAAATCAGATCGGTGTAATCCCTTCAGTCACCACCAGATGGCAGCAACACCTCGTCACCAGAGTTTCACTTCCTGTTTCACAGAGTCACACCTCACCTGTCTGTAAGGTGTTTAGAGAAGTTGTTAAAACATTTATATAATCGCTTTTCTTCCCTGTTGAGTTTGTAAACATTCTTTCATGAATCGCTAATAAATGCATGAAAGAAGCTCTGTTGTCGGACCTTACTTAAGCACCTGAATGCACCACGCAATGAAATGTTTCCAGGAGTTGATTTTGAAACAAAAATGAACTGAAATCAATGGAAGGAAATCAAAACACATTTTGTTCTTCGGCTCTTTTAATCTAGTGACACATCTGTTGGGGGTCCCGGCCCTCAGGTTGGACCCCCCTTGCCTTTACGTGGACTCACCGATCTCCCTCCCCAGTGATGAGTTGAGAATTGCTCCGGCTGATGTCACCACAGCGCAGGTCTGATACTGAGACGTCCGGAGCTCCTGCAGGGGCAGCGAAGGCACCAGCCGTTCCCAGCCAAGACTGGAGAACGGCTCCTCGATCCCGTCCACAGTCCGGATCCTGGTTCTCCTCTTCAGCTCGCAGTACAACTGCAGACTGGACTTGCGGCCCCCCTTTGGCCCCCGGTACACCACCTGGTGCCTGTTGGAGCTCAGCTGGATCATTCGGATCTTCTGGAGACGAGGACTAAGCATCCCCGCTGTCAGATTCCCGGTCCATAGTCTCTGCAGGATCTTGATAGAACTGGACCTGTAGTAATCCTTAGACCTGGACCTGTAGTCAGTCCTCCTCCTCTTCCAGTTCTTCTCTGAGACTCCAGCAGGTTTCCGGGACCAGCGGCCAATCCTGGTCCCCCCATTAACGGAGGCCAGGCCGATTTCTGTCCTGGTGAGTCGAGACTCTGCAGCTGATCTGGACCTAAGCAGCAAGGAGGATCTGAGGTCCAGGAAGTGAAAGAGCAGGGACAGGAAGAGGAAGAGCCAGACCAACAGAACCACCAGCAACCACTTCCTGTACAGCTTCATACTGGGTCACAGAGGAGGGTCACAGGGTCCGACGGGGAGAGCCGAGGGGGGGCGTCAGAGGTCAGACCTGAGGGAGACGACAGGAAACAGTTTCTGTAACAGCACGCAGGTAGTTCCAGTCAGACTGTCCGTGTTTCAGAGGTCGGACGCCTCTGAAGTGTGAACTGTCTTGCTCAGGTGATCAGTGGTTAGTGAAGCAGACGACAGACAGATATCCCGGGTGTGTCGGCTTCGTAGGACGGGTCCCGGGTTTAATGAAAACGCTGACGGGGGCCACACACCCTGTTTCATTCAGTCTGGATCACAGCGAGTATGGAAGCTCATTATTTAGAGCAGCTTTCCTATCAGAATCTAAATCCTGCTGGTCAACGGGTTTTGCCTTCACATTCAAGCCCCCGTCAGAATAAAACCTCTACACACCCTCATTTTAACAACACAGCTATGCGTTTGTTAGAGCCGCTGCACTAAAACGTTGCTGCACTACAGTAATGTCAGTTTAAACTGTAGAAATCAGCGTGAAGCTCGGGACACGAAGGATCAGTGCTGCCCTGCAACATAACTCCTCTAACACTGGAGGTCATATGTTAATGTTTCTGATGGTGGTGCAGCTACAGGGTGTAGTTACACAACCCGTTCTCGACCCCTTAGGCTACGTTCAGACTGCAGGCCGTAAAGCTCAACTCAAAGAAACGAGCGAGCAGGGAGTGAGTGCCCAGGTGAACAGCAGACACAGTGAAACAGGGAAGCAGGAGAAACCAACCGAGCGGAACAGAAATGCAAAACCACAAACAGAACACGGAGCAGACAAGGTAAAATCACAACAAACACAAGTACACAGACCAGGAGTAAAGACTAGGACATGAACTAAGCCACAGGACTAAGAACTAAGATCAGAAAACAGAATAAGACCAAACATAAATACTAAGGACAAGGAAAATAAACAGGGAGCACAAAACAAGACAGCGAGGATAAAAGAAAACCCAACCAGGGACAAGAGATGCTAACACAGAGGAGGGAGAGAATAAATAAAGACAGAGAACGACATGAACAGGAACTAACAATACAGACCAAAACGACAACAAGATCTGAGTCACGTATGAGCAAAAAACTCAGATTTGGTTCCCTTTGGCCTCAGAGTTCAGCGCAGAGGAAGTCCTGTAGTGTCACTTCTAAATGCTAAAAGCTGGAGTAAATAGCAGAAAGGTCAGAGTGAGGAGGTGGACGGTGGGCCACAAACCGAACTTTCGGCCAGGAGAAAAAAGACACTGGTTGTTTTTAGTGATCTTATGTAGGTTACGCAAGTAACGTTACTTAACTTACGTAAGTAAAGTCACCTAACGTAGTTAATTTAACCCAAATCATACACCTAACCAAACTGCAATGTTTCACAGCAGTAAACACTAGTTTTATTTTGAAAGTCTAACAGGACGTTGCAGATTTATTGTTGATAATCTTACTTAATAATACTTAAGGGTACTCAGGGCGTTAAAAAGTGATGCCAAGGAGTCTGAGCAAGCCTCCATATGTGAGGATGTGTTGAGTTAGAAAGTTTTAAATGCTCTGGCTTTAAATTCTTTGTTTCCTCTTCAGTTGCTGTCCTGCACTTGTCCCGTCAGAGTAAAACAGACATCAGCACGTAAGTCAGTCTGCTGAACGATGAACTAACAAGCACTGAATAAAACTTTGAGTTGACACTTTTCAGTTCAATTCAAAGGAGAGGAAAGAGAGCCGGGACAGGAGCCATGTTGGCCCAGCTCTGACTTAAGGCTGCTCCTAAAGGTCCGAACAAAACGGGGCTCATGCGGACTCATGCGGGCTCATGCGGACTCAGCGGACTCATGCGGACTCATGCGGGCTCAGCGGACTCAGCGGACTCATGCGGACTCAGCGGACTCATGCGGGCTCAGCGGACTCAGCGGACTCATGCGGGCTCATGCGGGCTCATGCGGACTCAGCGGACTCATGCGGGCTCAGCGGACTCAGCGGACTCATGCGGACTCAGCGGACTCATGCGGGCTCATGCGGACTCATGCGGGCTCAGCGGACTCAGCGGACTCATGCGGACTCAGCGGACTCATGCGGGCTCAGCGGACTCAGCGGACTCATGCGGGCTCATGCGGGCTCATGCGGACTCAGCGGACTCATGCGGGCTCAGCGGACTCAGCGGACTCATGCGGACTCAGCGGACTCATGCGGGCTCATGCGGACTCAGCGGACTCATGCGGGCTCAGCGGACTCAGCGGACTCATGCGGACTCAGCGGACTCATGCGGGCTCAGCGGACTCAGCGGACTCATGCGGGCTCATGCGGACTCATGCGGGCTCAGCGGACTCATGCGGACTCAGCGGACTCATGCGGGCTCAGCGGACTCATGCAGACTCATGCGGACTCATGCGGGCTCAGCGGACTCATGCGGGCTCAGCGGACTCATGCGGGCTCAGCGTTCGGTCCGTGTACCGGGCTGTGAGCGCAAGACTGTGTTTTACATCTATGGTCTTTTTAATGTGAAGAGGACTTTGTGTTACTACCTTGTAAAACAGCAACCTCAAAAAAATTTATTAAATGCTTTCATGAAAAAAATATAACAATCACACAGATTTAATCAAACATATAATTTAAAAATATTTACAATTAGTATGATAGAATAAAACTACATAAAATAAACGTTAAAAAAGACTTCATATTTCATTTCTTGTACCATGTTGTTGCTGCACTTCTGCTCCGCACTCAAACACCAGCTCGGCCTCCTGTGAACCAAACTTCATGTAAAGTTTGAGCATTTTAACAACGTGTGATCTCTGGCTGTGAGCTGCTTCACCTTACCTGTCACAGGTGTGAGGAGCCTGTCAGGACAGCGTTCCCTTCCCGCTGACTTCACCCTGCAGGATCAATCGGCCCTGCCACGGCTTGTCTTCCCAGAAGCCCCTGCTTCATGTTAGACACCGAGCCCAGAGTTTGGTTTAGTGTAAGAGGAAGTAAAGTTTCCTTTTATTCTCTGCCGGGAGGGGGGGGGGGAGGTGAGTACCAGCTGCGTTCTGATTGGCTGCCTCAGTCTCTTTGTTTCAGGCTCTAACGGGCTGTTACCATGACGACCACAGTACTGATGGAGGCCTGTGTATGTGTGTCAGAGGATAATGGTGCGTTCAGGTCACGCCGCAAAGGCCGTCAACACGAGCCGCAGAGGGAGAAGACTTCCCAACGAGGGGTTAACGAGGTCTGAATGCTGGATCTGATCCCAGACCGACTCGTGGGAAACCTCCCAGACCTGACAGGCATACAGAGAGTCTTAAAGAGGGCCGAGGACTGAGACTGCGCTGATAATACCACAAATTAAAATATCCTTCGTTAAGCTGTTTAATCACAAGCTGCAGACTGGACGTCTACTCGTCGTCATCAACACGTGTTTTTAGGAACTAATTTCATATTCTTCTTTAAACTCAAGCTTCTTCTTGGAAAGTTACTGAACTCACAAATGTTAACTTTCATTTATTACAGAAGGAAAAAGTAGAAGAGCTGAAAAAAACTGTTGTTTATGTTTTCATGCAATGAAACGTCACATCTTTGCTCCATATCCTGTATGAGGTCACGTCCTGTTCCTGTTCAATGTTTACCTGGGCTGACAAAACGTAGCAAAACATGGACACAAGTGTACAAAGTCGGCCCTGCTGATTGGGTAACACCTCAGCAAGCTGATGCAGCTACAATGTGTCCGTTTTTATTCCCGCCCTGCAGCTCACGTTTGACTATCACATCAGTGATCAGCCGCAGTCAACTCCAACGGACCTAATTACACATCTGTGAAGTTTCAGAAGGTTTTTTTCCCCACCTGCTGCCACAAGGGAAAACTCCAGGCTAAAATCATTCATCAACGATCATTTCATCCAGTCATCAATCAAAATGAAGAACCAATAAAGTACATATAAAACAAACAAAGCAGAACCTGAGCCTCTGGCCTTCTCCTGTCAGTCCACACAACCCCAACCAAACAAATTAATCTGAGGTGTGGTTATTTCTAAAAGGTTAACAAAATCAATTTAGTTCATACAGCACAAAACAAAAAGAGGATTTAGAAAAAGAAAGGAGTTTGTTAAACTTACAGTCTGTCGGTCGGCCTGAGAGTCCAGTCCGGGAGGACTGACCGGCCTCCTCTTTTCACATCACGCTGAGATCCACAACATTCAGGTGGACGATGAAAAACTGTTTGCAAGGGATTGAAAACAACCTTCCTATTTTCTGTTTTCCCTGCTGCTCCCCTCCAACAGTGAGCCAAACAGGTGTGTACTGAAATCCAGGATGTAGGCCTACACTGCAGTACTACATATAAAACACACTCTGTACAGCTGGCATCAAACTATCTCTGAATAATCAGCTGATGTTCTTGGTGTTTTTAATGGTAACTGTTAATAATGTTTCCTGTTAATTAATAATGATTAATTATTCGAGTTTTTGATGATCATTTTAGTTTTGAGTCATTTGGTACGTCAGAATAATTACTAATGTAATGAACTAAAACACGATTAAACTGATGTAAGTGCCTCTGCTGCCTTGGTTGAATGTTTAGGATCTATTTTCCTGTTTTTATTCTATTTAATGTTATAATGTACATCACTGATGTTAAAGTATTTAAATGCACTCAGTGGGAACCTGATTAACCCTTGTGTTATCTTCGGCTCAAATCTGACCCGTTTTGAAATTCTTTTGGATGAAAAATAAGGTTTTATTTCATGAAATTACACCAAAATAACTTGGGTGCTTGCACACAC